GCAAAATGGTCAAGGCGACAGAGACGCCATCGTGGTGCAGAGCGTTTGAAGCACACAGCCAGTCAAGACGCGACCTAAAGCCGCCTCTTGCCCTAATGGGACTCGTTAAGCGCACTAAATGTAATGCTTTTGCTAATCCTGGCCATCGAGCTCGAGTTGACGCCCAGAGTCGCAACTGACTAACCAGCGCCACCGAACAGCAACCTTGCAGCAGCACAGCCAAGATCACAGCCGCATTCTGAGTTGCGCTAACATCTGCCGCCAGTCGGCAGGCTTTGGCAGGCTTTGGCAGCCAGGATAGGGCCGGCCATGGAGGACGCCAATGAATGGGCGTGCACCCAGCAAGCCCTCCCAGCCCAATGCCGTCAGCAGCTCAGAAACTGGGGGTACTCGAGGTCGATTGGCGTCATACAAGGGACACGTGACGAGTAGGTTTGCTAATTCTGCCCCTTGTATGACCGTGCAAATCAACATGATTGGTGAGATGAAACCGAGAGGCTACACCACGTGGTGGCTAGACGTGGGGTGGGTTTAGGTTAGGAACACAGGACCATACGCGAACTATAAAAATTTAAAAGTCGTATACCCGTCAAGTCTGTAAGATAACTGTCTAACGGGTTAAGAGAAAGTCAATGTCTAGCACATCCGCTACGTGTGTTCCTTGATACCCTTACCTTGCTTTTCCCTTCATTTCATTTTCCTCTCGTACCTATCCTTTGTGTATCATTCGAGATAAATAACCTCTCATTCTTGTGTATGTATCATTTTGCAGCCCCAAGAAATACTATTTCTTATCAGAACATCAATAAAACAGGATCAGGATTGCCCAAGAACAGGCATTCATGGCTTCTTCTGTGCTTGACTATTCGCACAAGACACGAAGGATAGCCGTGACTGCAAATCATGTTATTCGCAGCACATGAAATATAGAGCCACAGCGAGAAAAAATTGCACGCCATCCTACAAGCGGAGTTCTCGAGGTCGAACGCTTCAGCAAGACTGCGAAACTACCACCTCATAAGATGCCTCCAAGCAAGAATCGCGATGCCCTCGAAATCGAAGAGACATCAGCAACCCGAAACAAAAGCCAAGGAAACCCCCTCAGGCAAAGATGTATAAATAAAAAAGAAGTTATCATTGTCGTACCAAACAAACGTAATGATGAAACGTTCGTTCCGAGAGAAACCCAATGACGTCATCGTGAATGCCGATCCGACACGGACATCCTCGTGCACCCGAGCTTCCTCCAACCACTCAAAACTTGGAAAAGTCTCTGGGGCTCGGAACGGCTTTTAAGGAGGTCGCTTAGCCCCGCCTCGCGGCGCAACCTCGAGTTCCTCATTTTCCCTTTCTGTCGCCGTCGAGGTTCTACTTTTTGCAGAGGGCGATTGAGAATCATTCATATTCTACACGTCGTCATCTGTTGATCCACCGAACAACATTCGATCGATCATCTAAAGAGCTCAACTCGTTCATTTTCCTATTTATTATTTCGCGCCGCCTTTCTCCGCACAATGTCATCATCGACCCAGCCCCTCCAGGGCCCTGGCTTCCTAAACTTCAACTCACATCCGCCTCGAATCTGGCTGACGTCTTCGTCGTCCCACGCTCCGGAGCAGACATTACTGGCCTGGAAGGAGGAAGGGTTCGAGGCCAACTACCTACCCTACACGCCTCACGACCAAGCCGGCTACATGAGAGCGCTCAAGAACCTGCACAACGACGTAGAGTTCGGAGCAACGTACGCTCTGATATGCTACGGGGAGGCCGCGACCGCCGTGTTGAAAGCTGCAACGAAGCCCATGCCGAAGTGCAATGCCATCGTCGCCTTCTACCCCACCGTGCTGCCGAGTCCGAAGACAAAGTTCCCGAGTCTGCTGCACGTCCAGGTGCACGTCGCGGGGCTCAGCCAGATTTCACCGCGCCCGGAGATGTGCGATTGGAAACTGTATCGATATGAGAAATCCGTGACGGGCTTTGCAGATCCGTTGACGGCCGAGTATTCGGAAATTGAAGCGAATTTGGCGTGGAGCAGGAGTCTGGGGTGTGTGAGGAAGGCGTTCAAGAAAGACGTAGATCTCGAGACTGTAGTGCAGGCGGCGTGGAACGCAAAGTACGAAGACGATGATCCGGAGCGGGGAAGTATGGCGGTGGTCCAGAACATGACGCAGAACAGTCCGCATCTTACGATAATGCCCACATTGCAGGGTGGAGTTGGAAGGAAGAAATTGGTCGAGTTCTACCGGGAGTTCTTCATTCCAAGTCTCGTGGAGGACTTCGATATCAGACTCATATCCAGGACGCTGGGCGTGGACAGGGTGGTTGATGAGATGGTGGTATCCTTTACTCACTCGGATGAAATAGACTGGATATTACCTGGTGTACCGCCGACGGGCAAGCGTGTCGAAATCGCCGTTGTCAGTATTGTGGCGGTTAGGGGAGGAAAACTCGTCTCCGAACATATGTATTGGGATCAAGCGTCTGTCCTGGTACAAGTCGGGCTTCTGGATATCAAGGCAGTACCAAAGAAACTCAAGAATGCAGGTGTGCACCGACTGCCGGCTGTTGGAGAACTAGCAGTGAGGCAGTTATTGGCACCCGAACAAATGGGATACAATCACTTCTTGAGGATGGTTGGTCTCATGAACGGTGCGAATGAGGTGAATAGAGTGAACGGCTCCTGAGAGGTTGGCTTGGTGCATGCGATTATAGCGTTGGTGTTAGGGATTAGGCGTCCGGTGATGATTTTCAGCCTATGAAGCTGCATGTGGGTAGTTTGTATGTATCAGGAATCCAATATTTCCGCCTCACCCCGTCCCATTCGCCTCCTGAGTCGAGATCAGGGATGGGAACGGTCTCAAAGTCGGTGTCAAAGCCTGCTTCGAAGAGGTCCATTTCGACGATCTGGCGGCTGTCAGTAACGAAAAAAATCGTGCTTAAAATCGGCTATTACCTTGTTGTAGACATCATAGCAAACCTGTCGATCCGCGCCCATACCGTTGAAGAAACCAAACTTTCCACCTTCGTCACCTGCACCTCCTGCTGGGTCTAGCAGCCCGATTACATGCTCGGTGAAGAACTCCCGCAGCGCTTTGTACTCCTCGGCGAAAGTATCGAAGTATATTGCATCGAAGAGTTCGCCCTTTTCAACGAGGCCCGGCACCACATCCTGCCACCGCCCTTCATGAACGACGACGCCAGGCTTGTCATACCAACCATTCTCCCTCATATTTTTCAGAACATCCGGATGCGCTTCGATGATGTGGTGCGACTTCGGACTCTTTTCCTGGAAGATGCCGTCGATTATGCCCATTCCATGCCCTACGTTCAACACGCGGAGGCCGGTCGCTGGAAGCAAGAGTTCGGCAGATCTTCGCATAAGCGTGGTCTCCCATTCCATCATTACGCCGTTGGCCGATGCATCTAATATCCGATTGCGATCGAAGGTCAAGGTGGAGGAGAGGTAGTTGGGGTTCAGAGTTGACTCGTCGCCTGCTCCAGCATCAACCTCTCCTCCACCGACAGCCGCATTCTCCGTGTCTTCAGCGACTCCCTCGGCTACCTCTCCCTCTACTTCTTCTTCTTCCTCGTCATCTTCCGAGGCTGAGTCCGCATCGCCTAGAGGCAGATACCCATCTAACCGACTGAGCAATAGCTCGGCTCTCACTCCTGCATCCACACATATCTCATACAAGTCGGTCAAACCCAGTCGACGCGCAATGCACCCGGGCGTCTCGCCATTTCCATCCAAATCATTCCATATGGCGCCATGTTGAAACAGCAATTTCACTGTCTTCGCTGCAACCTCGAGCTCTTGCTTCCTCTCCTCGCTGATCTCCACAGCACTCTCTCCATTCGTGTTTCTGTTGCTCTGGCCATTGACCTCGTTTGAGGTTGTGTCGGGCTCGCAAGCTGCAATTGCGGCGTGAAGTGGTGTGAATCCCGTCTCGACGTCTTGAACGTTGGCGGAGGAGTTGCGGAGGAGGTCGCGGAGGGCGGAAATGTCGTGGTGTGCGGATGCGAGAAGCAGACTTTGGGTCTGAAGGTCCGTTTCGACGTCAAAGGCTGGATCGTCCATTTTCGAAGACTCGCTGAGCGGGTATGTGGATTTGTGAGGGACGTGAAGAGGACGGTTTGGAGGGGCAGCGAAATTTCGAAAAGCGCGAGTAATGCATAATGGTCTGTGCGCAGACACATACGTGCCCCGCCATGACGAAGACTGGTTTCGATGAATGAATAATAATAATAATTGTATTGGCAAGAAGTCTGTTTTTTTCAAAAAGGAAGTAGATGCCATTTCCGATGAGTACTTCAAGGCTCGCTATATTTGTGGTAAGGGACAGAAGGAAGTTTAGACGTGGTACAGTCCTCGCATAGCCTTTTAGCAGATATACCGGGGCATGGCCAGATTATATGATCCTTTCAGCCCGTCTAATATTTGCATCTCAGTAAGAAGATGCAGTGACCGACATCGACGAGCTGTTCTCAGTCGTACAAGCCTCTCGACGTGGTGTCGGAATAGAGTTGTCTCATCTTTCCTCCTTCAAACACGGGGCCCACGTGTTCCGTAAACGTCCACCTGCTGCGCATGGAGACCGGGGAACCGGGGTCTTGTTCTCTTCGCTTGTCGTTCTGGAAATGGCTAGCTAGCTGCAGGCTTGTACCAGGTCAGAAAGCGTGAAACTTTTAGAATTCGGGAACAAAATTCTTAGAAGATGTTGTTTCATGCGGTGAGATCTGGCGGTGGGTACAAAGCATAGCCGAGATCTGATTCGCACAACAAAGCTAGTGGTGCACTAAATGCAGGCCCGGACTGCGCCTAGTCCAGCCGCTGATTCGGTTGAAGCGAAGACGAGTAAATGAAGCCCCGCACTGGATTGACGGTGAAAGAATCTGCAAGAGCCTTTCAGCGCCTTTGTTGAACCACAGTCGAGTTTCTATATAGGCGAGTTAAGTTTGGAAAAATGCCATTCCGATAACCGAAGCAGGCTTCGAAAGCAGCCTTCGTAGCTCAGTGGTAGAGCGCATCACTAGTATCGCACAGCGGCTATGATGAGGTCGTCAGTTCAATTCTGGCCGAAGGCATTTCTTTTTGCGCTCTGGGTGATTCCAGCGAACACCTTGTTGAGCAACAGGCGCCGTGGTAGGAGCTGATGATGACGAGATGGACAGACGGCGGTGAAGGCTGCTTGGACTTATCCTTTTTGCTGCCCCATGCTGTGTGGCCTTTGTTTGCTTGAAACGCAACCCGCATTCTTCTCTCTTTGTTTCACCATGTGGACGTGTACGAGGATACGCGCAAGAGCCGCGCGAGGTCATTTCCACCATGTGGGCTTACACGCGCTGGGCTGCGACGGTTTTAATCAATCGCGGGCCCTGAAATTGCGACTCGACGATTTGATTCCCGCTTCCCTCGCGATGCAGGAAGAGCAGGGATTTTAATCTCGACTTGCCATCTATGTATACTTCTTCGACGGAGGCGCAGCGCACATGAAATCCTCGCATCGAGCAGCTGTTCCTTTGCTCCACGCCCGCTGCTTCGACGGCGCAGGGTTGGTGTCTCGGCGGCCGCGCAACTCTCCCGCGCGGCCTCAGGCTGGGACGGGCTACGCTGGGATGGGCCCATGGCGTCGCGAGCAGTGCGCAATGGCCTCGTTATTTTCCGAGAAGGCGGAGGCTGATAAGTCGATAAGGGGCCGACTTGTCAGGCGTGTCTGCGCAGGGCAAACAAGGCGTGACTGGAAATAGGTCGCGCTCATTCACCGGGGCGGGAAGTTAAATGATACGGCCAATCAGGGCGGCGCCGTGCCTGGCTAGGGGCCCTGGCGAGATGATGAACAGACGCCCGGGCCCGTTGGACAGGGGACGAGGGCGCCAGGCACGAAGCACCGCGAGCGACGGCGAGGGACGGCGAGGGCTGCCGGTTCTTTGTCTGTGCCCTCTCCTCTCCTCTGCTCTCCTCTCCTCTCCTCCTCCTTCTCCTCCTCCTCTCCACCGCTCTCTCACCCCCCCCGTCTCCGCCCTCCCCCAGTTGCTTCAGTTCGCCTTCACTCGCGACCCGGCTGTCGTTCGCCCTTCATTAATCGAGCGCAGCCCTCGCCATTCACTCTTTACGCCCCACCGCCTAATTCGCTCTTTACGTTCAGTGCCCAGTCGCAACCCAGCTCCCCAGATACATTCCAGTCGACGTCGCCCCATCTCCCGCATTCCTTGCTGCAACCTCCCTTGGACTCGCCGTCGCCGTACATAGCTGGCCCGTCGCTCTACTGCGCGCCCCACAGCATCATAATACCGACAATCGCATCAACACGACAATAGGAGGCTCGACTAGCGCCTATCATAATTTAGTCGCACAACAACGCGACCCACAACCACCTCGACCGCACGATACTACGATACCACCCTCAGCACCTCTGTATCCTGCGCGCCTTACTTTCTCGCCAACATGGCTCACCAACACGGCCGAGCCCACGTCGTGCGACGGCAGACCCAGCGCCAGCGAGAGGATGACGGTGTCAGGACCGTCATGTCTGTCAAAATCGTGACGCTGGCCAACACATTCACTGGAGATGTCGTGTGGATTACCCAGGGCAACAGCAAGGAGACCATCAAAGGAGACCCCATCCAGCAATCCTCGGCACCAACTTCCAAAGCCAACGCCAGCTCGAAGAAGGCCACCGCCACAAGACCGGTGGAGTCGGAGGCTGAGGAAACCGCCAAAAGCTCCCACAAGAACACAGCGTCGACCATCATGGTCGCCACTTCATCGCCCGTTGTGACCGGCACTGGAGCTATTGCCGGCCTCGCTTCCGCTACTGCTTCCGCTGCATCTGCAGCTCTGTCCGCCAGCCCGTCATCGACCGAGGCCGCTGCGAGCACCGGCATGTCTGGAGGTGCCAAAGCCGGCCTCGCCTTTGGTATCCTCGTCGTGATTGGCGCCCTCTTGGGTGCCGTTCTCTTCGTGTACCACCGCAAGAAGAAGCAGATAGCCGCTGCCAAGTTGGACGACGAGAAGGCCTCGATGCGCAGTGCCCCACCGCCACCACCTCCTCAGGTTAAGCCAGCTGCTCCCAGCATCAGGACACAGCGCACCATGTCCACTGCTCCTCGTCTCAGTCTGCGACCTGTCACTCAATTCTCCCCCACCTTTGGCGAACACCGCAAGAGCGGTGGAAACTTGCTCAATGTTGCGGCAGCAGGCGGCGCCGCCTCACAGTCACGTGGAAGCCCTTCGCCCGATCGTCCAAGCAGCTCATGGGAAAGGCCCGGTGCTGGAAATGCTGCAAATCCGTTCAATGACCCTCAGCAGCGATCGAGCAGCCCGCAAAATCCGTTCGGAAACAACGCTGCCATTGACTCTCTTGGCTCATCTCCCAGCACTCCCCAGTCCGCAAATCACCCCAATGGCTACCCGAGCGATTTCGCGAACCCTGCACCCGCAATTGCTGCTGCTGCTGCCATGTCTACTGCTCCAATGGCCCGCAGAGAAGTCCCATCGCCCCCCAGCATTAGAGAAACCATCCCCCCTAGCCCATCGTGGACGGAGGATATTCCAGCTTCCCCAGGCCCAGCTCCCACCGGTCCCCCTCCAGTTGCTGTAGCAGGCGGAAACGTCAACGGTCCCGCCCCTGCCCCAGTTGTCAACAACGTTTACCGCATCCAACTCGCCTTCAAGCCCTCGATGCAGGACGAGCTCGAGCTTACCGCCGGTCAATTAGTCAGGATGCTTCACGAATATGACGATGGCTGGGCTCTCTGTGTGCGCATGGATCGTTCGCAACAAGGCGTCGTTCCCCGTACCTGTCTCTCCAAGCACCCCGTCAAGCCTCGCACCGGTCCTCCCCGACAAGGCCCCCCAGGACCTCGCATGCGTGGACCTCCCATCGCTTCTCCAATGGGCCCAGGAGGTGTTCCCCAACCACGCCCGCTCACTCCCTCCAGCGGACGTAACTCTCCTCAACCACCCTATCCCGTCAATGGTCGCAATTCCCCCGGACCCCGTTCCATGTCTCCCGGCCCGCGCTCAATGAGCCCAGGACCGCTGCGGATGTCTCCCCCCAACATGGGACCCCCCGGAGGACGTGCCCGATCCAACAGCAACGCGCCGTACGCCGGCCCCCCGCGCTCGATGTCTCCCGGCCCATACGGCGGCGGCCCCCAGCAGCAGCTGCCACCTCCCGAGATGAGCCGCCCGCGCTCCAACTCGGCGAGTCAAGTCAACGCGCGTCGCGGTCCCGCGCCCGGTCCCAGCCCCATGAACCCCAATCCCAACATGGCGATGCCCATGCCTCCGAGGAAACCGCTCCCGGGCCAGGCGTTGTAATGCGATTCACGAGATAATAGATTCTGGTCGATCATAGCTGCCGGGGCGTTGCTTATTCTATTTCCTTTGTGTAATTTTCCTTTCTCAATTGCTTAGGAGTCTGTGACATTATCCTTCTTATGGGAATGGCGAGGACTATCCGAATTTCTTACTCTCCCTTTACCCAAATAACTTATATTCTCAGGGGGGAAGTTGTGGGTGAGTGCAGTACTCCATCATCGCAACAAGACAACCCTCAGTGCTGTATTCCTCGTCAAAGCAACCTCTGCCCCAAACCCCCCCTTTATCTTATGTTTATACCCCAACCAAATTCCCCAATCATCTTCGAGTAATTCCTAGAGCCGAGAAAGAGTGAGAGCTCTGCAACGAATAGTCTGATTTTGGACAGCGAGTTGCAGGGCGGTTTTCGGTCTCGTGGCGTAGTGCTCGTAGAGGGAGATAATGTATGTTCTTGCTTTGCTTTCGTCTGGAGATGGTGGTGGTTGTGGCGGAGGGCGGACTGGATGGATGGATGGATGTAGTCTGTCTGGATGCAGAGGACTTTATCCTATCAACGGGGTGGGGTGGCCTTGGCCTTGGTGGGTGAGGCAGGAAGGAAGGAAGGATCCCCAGTGTGGTAGACAGTGCAGTGAAATCGAATCCAGATGAGATATTCAATCGAGATGAGTTGTTCGTTCTGTGCATGAAGATTTGAATCTGTCTGTGCTTATAGTAAAATGTTGCCTTGCGGTGCTGAAATTTCTTTTTTTTTCCCTCGTTCTCTCTTAACGGACTGGTGGATCGATTAATTACTTGCGTCCCGATCTAACTCCTACTTTCTTCTCCGCCAAGATATCCCTTCGCAGGGATGTTGTTGGACATACCAGTTGCTCTGGATATCTAGGCACATCGCGCGCCCAACGAGACGTTTTCATATGATTCCGAACGTGCACTCAATAACTATCAATCCCACTCCTCGGGCCCGAGGCGCACCGGAGAGGAGAAGTGAGTGCGTCGTACGAAGCGTAGATAGATCTCCATCTGTGGCTTCCCCGTTCGTCCATGCCGAGAAAAGTGCAATGCAATACAACCAACCGACCACGACGCGGAGATTCTTTTTAACGGGGTAGCGAGTTACTTGGAGCCGTATACACAGGGTACACGGTCTATGGCAAGAACGGGAAACTTCAGAAATAAGGGGAGTTATTGATTAAAAAATATTCAAACTACTTCAACTGCGTAACCCCTAGATGACGTTATTTATAATAAAACATGTGAATTTAATAGAGAAGGATATGTATGCTCTGTGTATATAGTACGTACTGGACTTAGTTTTAAAAGGCATAGAATGATTAGTTCGTTATTTTACAGCATTGCAGGCGATGATAGTGTTTGTTTGTTTGTTTTGGGCTGTCCCATGTTCTCCTGTTCCTGCGAGAGATAGTGATAGTGCTTGGTATGGACTGCCCTTGGACAAATGCTACCTTGTGTGTGTGTTTTTGCAGGTGCTAATGCCTCCGTCGGCGTGTCACTGTTGCCCGTGAAAGAATGGTGCGTGGAGGGGGTTTGGGTGCTTTTGGTCGTGGGCGCGGGGACGTGGAGTATTCGAGCGAGGTCTTTCTCGACAGGATTTGGAAATGCTTGTTTGTAGGAGGAGGAGGATAATACTGGGATTAGACAGATAGGATTGCAGTACTAGTTGTTACCTCCATGCAATTGCGTCGTCGGAGGTTCAGATGGCTTATTAGTCAAGGGGAAACAACTTGTGGCTACAAATATTATA